CTTCTTTATTTAAATTTGGATTTTAATTTTTTTCACAGATGGAACGAGTTTGTTGCAATCTACAAAATTATATCCATTTTTAAAAATATTTTGAGAATATTTTTTCGAATCACCCATACCACTCTTTACCTGCCTCGTACCGATACCACCTTTGTTTTTAACTCAAATTTTGAAAATACTTGCCTGCAAGAAACACGTTCATTGTGGTTTATTGGATCTACAAATTTCGCAGGGGGATTTAATGATCACATATACCACTCTATATCATCTTGGTATATGCTGGTAACTGGTAGTATATGGTGATGAAAAATGGTAAATGGTCATTCATATATTCATACTATCATGTATACAACTATTCTACCCTCCGGTATATTGATACCATCATAGTACACGTTTATATCACGTGGTATGATCTTATTTACTACCACGCATTACCATATGGTATGGACTGATAATAAATGTTTCACCTTTTTGTTTATAAATATATGAAAGTGGATGTCATTTTAAAAAGCACAATTAATCTAATTTTTCTGTAAAAATTTTCAATTATGACTTAAAATAAAAGAGATATAACTCATTAAACTAAATTGTGGAAACAGTTAATTATCTTCCATATATGGTATGTGTTGGTCATGCAATGTTATGCATATGTAAGTTTTGCATCAGATATATTCTCGTCAACATGAGTGCGGATATTGTGCCAAACGAGACACATTTTGGCAGTAGCCAAAATTCACCACGGCCGTTGGATGTAGAAATGGCAATGAGGCAGGTCCGAGGCGAGTATCTCGATACCTATATTTGGTCCGTGACCGTTTGAATTCATAGTGAAATTTATCATGAGGCACCAGTCAGACAGGTCAACCCATTAGGTATTTAATTTAAAAGTAAAATATTATAATTATTTAGTTTTCATTAAAAATCAAGTAAAAATTATAAAAAAGCAATTAAGATTCTCCTAGTACAAAATTCGAACTGTACAATTTTGATCTACATAATTCTTCCTATAAAGAATCATTTCAAAATTTCCACCCTCGATGTTTTTAGACTCTAATGCATGGTTAGTGGTTTAAAGTTGGATTGGATTATATGGTATTCTTTTATGTTGATGTGATTAGAATTTTCTCGTGGCTAGGATGAGTCGGGGTAGGACAAACTGGATGTAGATACTCATCACCTGCCCCACGCTACTGTGGGCGGATAATACCGGCTCCATCGTGGGTCAGATTGGGTACCCAACAAGGCGGTTCAAATTTGCAATCTCTACGCCTATCAAACCTTATTTGAGTAATTTTCTCATAATTCTTAGATTCAACTAAATTCAAATCAAATCGTTAGCGTGTGGGACTTAAGCGAAAATAGGGGAGGATGGTTGTAACTCTTATAAAAGTAGCTTGTAGTTAGAATTTTAGAGAAGTATATAAAATAGACAGTAGAGTGTGTGGTTGACAAACTATTAAAAGTACGTTTTAATATCATTGGTCATGTAAAATGACTAAAATAATTTATAATATAAATATGAATAAAAGATAAAATTAAAAAAAACTATCAAAATGGATATTTTTAGATGTCTTTTATATTAATAATATAATTATTTTTTTTATTGTTGGCCTCAACATTCGAACATGTTGTATGTATTTTTATTTTATGAATGGTGGCATTTTATATGATAAAAAATATTTATAGTAGCGATGCTTCTTGGTCGCACCTCTCTTGTATTTTCCTTTTCATCACTCTAATTCTCTTATCGATTGCAAATCTCCTTCCATCGATTGCTGCCTTATGATGTCGTCTTTTAGTTAATCAGTATTTTTGGAGTTTCGCCTTGAACCTGCTTTGCTAACCTAGGTGAAACTTCAAACGAACGTAACTTTACGCTTGGTTATCCGATCGTAGCGAAATTTTGTTTGATTCTGCATAATTTTTTGAGATCTTGCAAGCAGCAATGGCCAAAGGCGGTTTGGTTCCGCCTTCGTCCCGAAAAAAACATCGTTTGCTACCCCGAGCGAGCAATTTTTCGATTTCGCCAAACTTTGAATAGTCATAAATTTGTGCTCCGTAACCAAACATCACAAACTTTTTTTTGATTCCGCGTAACTTTTTAAGGTCTATCACACTGCTCACTAGTCACTATCCTGCTACAACTTGGGTAGAATATTTTAGTCTCCCTTATTTTCTCTTTGCCTCATCATTTCAGTGGCTACAGAACCAACTCCACATCAAAACTCCAAATCGATTAGTGACATTTCCCATCGTCGTCCAAATTAAAGAACATCCAGTTGGTTGATGACCTACTTGGAGGAAATATATGCATCAACAACATCCATCATTCAACTTGGCCATTCTAAGGCTCTGGGACCGGATGGGTTCCTTGGCTTTTTCTTCAGGAATTTCTGGCCGTTAGTTGGAGAACGATTTTGTGAGGAAGTTCGTGGCTTCTTTGATTCCAATCGTCTCACAAAGGGGTGGAATGATACTCATATCTCTTTACTCCCCAAAGTTGATGCTCTTGAGCACATAAGGCATTTTTTGCCACCAGTTGCTGCAACTTTTGGTATAAGTTCATAACCAAAATTATGACTACCAAGCTTAAAAAATGGCTTCTCGATCTAGTTTCCAAGTTCGAGACGCCCTTCACGAGGAGGGGGAGGCAAATTCAAGACAATTTCATCATTGTTCATGAAGTCTTGAACCACTTCAAGAAGTATAATAGGGAACCGACAGGACATGATGCTCAAACTCGATACGAGAAAAGCTTATGATCTAGTTGATTGGAACTACTGGGATAAGATCCTTCAACTCTATGGTTTTGATCCCAAATGGTGTGTCTTGATCAATGAATGAATAAGAATAATCCAGCTTTTGATCCTTTTCAATGAATAAGAATAATTTGCCAGGGGGCCCTCTCTCACCCCTTATTTTCATCCTTCTATCTAATTCTCTTACTTTTCTTAAAGATAAAGCAACAATATCGAATTCTATTAGAGGGATTAAGTTGAATTGTAACTGTCATGTTCTCATCCACTGCCTTTTTGCTTGACATCGTCATCTTTGGCCAAGCTTCTGAAGAGGAAGCTACCAACATTATGAATATCATCTCGGCTTACAATAATATCACCGGCCAAGAAGTGAACAACTTAAGTCGTCCATCTTCCTTAGTTGCAATGTCAATAATGAGACCAAAGTTCAATTCACTCAGACCCTTGGTTTCGACTCCTCCACCTGCCATGGTAACTACCTTGGGGTGCCAACAAAATGGGGCAGATAAAAAAACCTTCTCTTTTCTGATCACTAGGATGGAGAGAAAAGATGAAGCCTAGAAGAGCCTTTTACTGTCCCAGGGAGGAAAAGAGACTCTTCTGAAAGCAATGATCCAGGCAATTCTGAAACAAAGAGCCTTCTCTTTTCTCATGTCGGGTTCCATAGCAAAAAAATTACTCCCTTCTTCGGAAATTCTTCTGGTCAGGCTCCTTGCAGAAGAAATCTTTCCACTGGTGCGACGCAAAATTCTTGTGCGCTCCAAAAGAGGAAAGAGGAATTGTATTTAAATCGTTCAAAGAGTTCAATTGAGATCTTCTAGCTAAGCAAGTTTGGAGACTCCTCTTGAACCCGAATGCTTTGTGGGAGCGCCTACTAAAAGGGTTTTACTTCCCTCATTTAGAGTTCTTACAAGCTTTTCACAAAAAAAAAAAGTCCTTACAAGCTAAGAACGGTCGACGACCTTCGTGGATTTGGGCTAGTATTTGGATGATGGAGATCGACATCATTAGAGTGATATGCAATGGGGAATCCACTAGGTTCTTCCATGATCAATGGATTCCTCACATTTTGTGAGGAAAATGAAATGGAACCATGGAGCCACAAGAGCGAGGGCAGAATTCATTAATATGAATGATAGATCGTGGAATGATTTAGCTCTCGATCAAAAAGCTCCTCCCCACCGTATTCATTCTATTAAATAGGTCCCCATCGGCTTACCTAAGACCCCGAATTTCTGGGCTTGGAGGTTGACCACCAAAGGTAATTTCTCAGTGGCTTCCGTCTACCATGCTCTCCATGACAAGGCCAGATTAAGCGGCAGGGTTCCAACCCCCCTCGTTACAAGATAAAGAGAGATGGAAATGGATTTGGAAGCTTCTCTTCCACCAAAGATGAAATCTTTCGTCTGGAAGTGCGTAAAGAATGCTTTGGCAACGAAAAGAGGATTATTCAATCCTCGGTGTTCTCCCATTCCCACATCTCCTATATTTTACGAGGTTGAGGAGACGCTTCATCACTGTCTTTTCGCCTGTAACCTCTTCCCCTCTTTGACCATTCCTCCTACTAATGCCGGCACCATCCATTGGATTCACCAATCGAAAGACAATATTCATACCCATTCTATCCACCATATCATCTTCACTCTTTGGAATATCTGAAAGACTAGGAATGAGAAAGTCTTTTGCAACGCCATTTCTTGGCCTCCCTTCACATGTTCCAATGTTGCTAGAGAGTTCAAAGACTGCTCTTAACCATGGATGTCTGCTCTTCCTTTTCCCCCTGTTCCTACTAGCCAGCTTAACCATCCCCAAAACTAGCCTACACCACCGCCGAGTAACCCTTGTTCTAGATTTAATGTGATGGATTGTTTATAAACAATTTCCAGCAAACGGCTTATGACATTGTGTCATCAAAAGCCATGGTCAAGTCTGCAACGGGAGAGCTGAAATCTTGCTTTGTGCGTCCCCTGTCGAAGCTAAAGTGAAAGTGTGTTGCATGAAGCTCTGAAAGTAGCTCAAATTCTTTCCTGGTCCTGTGATTGTCCAATTAGACTGCTTTGTTCTTTCTCAATGCGCAACTGAATTCCTGTTTCCTAGCCAGTCTGGCCATGGAACTGTGCAGCTTCCTTGGGAGTCATGAAAGACATCCTCAGGAGGTTTCCGGTCGATTGTAATCATGTTTCTTAGAAGGAATCTCGACATGAGAGCGGATTGGGTGACCAAATGGCTGGCCAACAATGCTCTTGCTAATGGCTGGATTGTAATTCTTGGCTTTATTTCGAATGTCTTTGTATATTTTTCTCCTTAACCTTACAGTATGCAATATAACCGGCCCCACGTTTAAAAAAAAAAACAGCAACCATCATGCCAAATGAGTGAATGACACATCCCACGACACCCACCAAGTATTTAAATCCATACTCAGTCAGAAGCTCCCTAATAACCTATTTCATTCGCTCCCGCAAATTTCAAGAAGACGCGTACTGTTCTGCAACCAACTCCAGCTTAAGGTATACAAACAGATTTGAAGACAGCTTCCTCTACATCACTTCATTCATTTCCTCTTTAATAGCTCTGTACGGGTTCTTCCTCAATCTCACTCAACTTCAATCCTCCTAACAATCCTCCATTCGTTTCCTGTCCTCCACTGTGCATCTCCTCTACTTCCCCTCCGGACTCAGATATCTTGGTTATCCGCTGCAGCTCATCAGTGACCTCAGCAGCAGAAAATCCTTCTCCGCTCGTTTCTTGAGAAACAGGCTCTGCCTCTTTCTTGGATTTTGGCCGCCGAATGGCTTCTGCTGCTTCAGGCATTGCAACTGGTGGAGGCTGGGGAGGCACCCAAGTCCGCTGAATTGGTGGCTGCTCGTTCGTCTGTACAACAGTGGTGGACCCTGGCTTGGCTTCAACGTATTCGGTCTCAGTGATTCTTGAGTTCTTCTTCTGCCACCAAGGCACGGTGCTCTGCGCATCCACCTGATTGCTCGCTTCATTGTTCTGCGCACCGAAATCTGAACCCCCTTCCCCGTTCAGTGCAGAACCAAATCCTCCTCTTGAGCTGGTTTTGGCTTGATAAGCACCCTCCCAAGGCTGCTCAGAGTAAGCAAGCAGTAAACATTCAAGTTAGAAGAGGCTAGATTTCCCCGTGTATTGAATTAGCGTAACATATTATTGCAATAACATTTATGATATGGAATTCACAAATAAAAGAATTGCATAGACAAAGCAAGTTCTCAATAGCACACACCTTAGACCTGGGAGCCAAGCGAGGATTTGAAATTTGCTGGTTAGGGTTGGGAGGTTGATCATTTATATCCTGTACAAGTACAAACAAGCAAATACCGTCAGCATGCGATACAGCAAACAAGTAACCACCAAAAATGGAAAACTATATGCATTGTACTCTGATGTTTGGCGGTCTCTCTCCCCTTTGAACCATTGCCATTATCTGCAACATAGCAACACAAATTATTTCCCCAGCTAGACTCTTTTGTCACATGAACAACACATTTTATTTTTGTATTGCATTTGGAAGGTGAAAACTAACATATTGCTGCTGACTACAGCATCAACAAGGAGATACGCCCCAGATCTTACTGCAAACACAAATCACTGGAAGGTTTGGGCATCGTCAAGCTTTGGGAAAATTACAAATGTTTCATTGGTCAAGTCAGTTTCAAAGGCAATGGTTTCGACTAAATCAGAAAAGCCAATCATCTACAGTAGTTTCTCATCAATTTTCATCAAAAGATAAGGTGATATCATTAAATGAGAAATTGTAGGACTTGGCCCTGTGCCAAGCAGTAAGTCAGAGCAATGAAAATGCAAGATTTCATAGCCAAAGTTCTGTTTAACTTAATGCCTACCCAAGTAAAGTACAGTACCTAGAAACTTGCAGCAAATAGATAGCGATGTCATATTAGTACTTCATATTCTATTCATCTTGTCCCAAAGTAACAACTAGCAGTTTCAAAATTATCACTTACATCCATATATGAATTGGGATGAGGTGGGGCAGATTTATCTGCAGAAGTTGGTGGTAAGGAGGATCTTGCTGTTCATAAAATACAGAAAGCACAACACGCAAATTACCAAGAGATGAGGGGAAAATGAAACAAAAATGAACCACAACTTGGCCAGTTTAAGAACCTGAGTGCGAATCAATCTCTGGTTTGTGTCCATTTGGATATGTTGGCTGGTAAGAAAATACAATTGACAAGAAAATGTTAAAGCCTGGACCAGAGTATATAACCCAATCTTTCAGATCAGAATGATTATTGATCGAAATTTTGTTAACCTGGATACCTTAAGGTTTGTAATTGAACCACTGTGCCCTCCATGCTCGACCAGATGAGTTCTTTCAATTTTATCACTTCTTCCTAATGACCATAATTATAACGAATAGATATAAGAGCAGGAATAGAAGAAAAAAAATAAACTTTTAAAGGCTCCAGTGCTCTCATTAATTGAAGTTGGAATGAGCTAAACTATAGAAGGAAACTTTTTTAATTGAGGTAGATATTTGCATAAACAATTCGCCTGGTTATAAACTAATGGATGCAAAGGTAAGACAGCACAGATAGACAAATCATTCAGGAGCCAAAGTACTGCCTAATACATAGCCAGGGCACACTAGAAAGCTGTGGCCTGAAACATTAATTGCAGAAGAATGTGAATGAGCTCCCCATACACGGTCAAATCTCTCAAAAGTTTCCAGAGGGAAAAATCTGGCTTTTGCTGGAGGGAAAAGAGTTGAACCGGCATCCGCCACCTTGTTTAATCCACTCATTATTATGCAACCAAGGCCTACCCCTCAAGGATTTAGAAGGTTGGTTCGTTGGATAAAGATATGAGGATCAGCCAATTCTCCACAGCAACTGAAGCAAATAAACTATCTAGCTTGCCACGGAATATGATGCAAATAAATTTGTGATACATCAAGCTCAAAGCTTAGCCACCCTGGCAACAAATTAAAATTCTCATCTTAAGAAATGTCCTTGGATCTATAAAATCCTTGTGATGCACGACTCTAGAAATTCCTGAGAACCATCTAAGAAAAGGAATAAAGCACAAGCTCACAAATTTACTTTCTTAAAGAAGCAAACATATTACCACCTTCCAGTTGTTTTATGGCACTCATTATTTATGCCACCAAGTCCTACCTCAAGGATTTAGAAAGTTGATTCTTTGGAGAAAGATATGAGGATCAGCCCATTCTCCACAGCAACTGAAGAAAATTAACTATCTAGCTTGTCACGCAATATGATGCAAATAAATTTGTGAAACATCAAGCTCAAAGATTAGCAACCCTGACAACAATTGAAAATTTTCATCTTAAAAAATGTCCTTGCATCTATAAAATCCTTGTGATGCATGACTCTAGGAACTCCTGAGAACCACCTAAGAAAAAGCATACAACACAACCCTTGCAAATTTATTTTTCTTAAAGAAGCAAACATATTATCACCTTCCAGGTGTTTTATGGCACTGCCCATTGACCTGATTTCCTTCACTTGCATTTGCATCAAATCCATGAACTTCTCCATGTTTACTTTCTCTGAAAAGGCCAGAAGACAAGTTTATCAATGCGTATATATAATTGCTTATCAACAGGAGTCCAGAAGCATTTTTACTAGGAAGTAAACTCTCGCTCTGGATATTTCCTACCTTCATATCTTGAGATCATCATTTCCTGGCTTGCTTTTGCCACATCAGACGCAGCAGCTGCGGCCGCTTTTGCCGCTGCTGCAGCTTCTTCAGCCAAAGTTGGTTTTATATTTGTTATGCCTCCATCACCATTTTTCTCTTCCATAACAACCCACCGTATCCAAGATTTTAGTCGGGGAATCATGGACTTCTGAAAGAACATATAAGTTGTTCATTAGCTTCTCAAAATCATGTAAACCACAGATGAAGTCTAAAGGGTGACATTAAGTTAGTTCGCAATGGAAAAAGATAAAATCCAGCACCAAAACTAGAGCCATGAACTGAATGTTAGGCCCTAGAACTTTCCAATTGTGCACAAGAGATCAGAATATGGTATGGTACCTTAACCCAAATAGCCGTTCCAGCACCAGAGGCTGCCAGCAAACTAACAGCAAAAACGGCATGGTACCATTGAAATCGAGACCGAGCCAAGGCGAACATAGAGGAACTCGCACTGCTAGGAACAGTTATTATTGGCACCGGGGTTTGGGAAACAGATGTTGGCTGAATGGTTGATGTTGTTACTCCCTGTCCCACTGTTTCCATCATGAATAAACAAGAACATCAACAATCCATGAATGCACAACGCAACCTTGGTCAAATCAATGAAATTTTTCCCCTCAAAAGACTAATGTATCCTTTTAATACCAAAAGACTTTACCCTGGTTGGTAACAGTTGGCTGAGCACTTGGAGATGGATCCTGCAAATTTGAAGACAATATCAGGAGAAATTGAAGAGTCCACTTATACACTGAACTCATTGAGAAAAAAGACCTTATACATTGAACCATGGACAGATGCGTGGTGGGGAACACAATAACCAAAATATTTAATCCCTTACTGGCACACGTCGAAAAGCTTCATCTATCTCTTCTTTAGTTAGCCCCTTCTTCTCAAGAAAATTTCTCCTGTGGAACACTGGAGAATCCCTAACTTTTGGGTGAGAAAGAAATTTCACAGCATTTTGTACTTGGTCTTCTCGTATTGGTTCTGAATTCACAAAGACAGACTTGGGATTTTGTGGAGCAGCATCTTGCTTAACTTCATTTGCTGGTTGCACAGTTTCTGTAGCTGAAGTTCGGGAAAAAGAACAAGAAATAAATTAACCTTTTGGGCTCACATCTTACACATAAACCCCATATGTTACAACTACAAGCAATTCAGACTCTCAAATGCTAAGTCAATCTCCTCCTTCATCTTTGCATACAATGAGCCTAGTGTCGGCTGTTTCAAGGACCAAATAAGTTTGCCCATAACACAACTGCAAAGACTCACATAAACAATTATATGATTCTGCAAACACAGATTCTGCCTACGAGAGCAATAGTTAGCCTTGTAACAACTGCAGAAACATTCATTCACTACGATTGATGCTATCAACACTGTAAAGTGAGCTAATAAGCCTCACCAACAATTACAGACAACAAATAAACGAAGTCCTAGCTAGAATATCTCATTGCATTTGCAGCCACCAGCAGATTCCATGTGAGTTTCAGGTTCAATATCTACCACCGATCCTTCACTCGATCAAATGAGCTGATAATTTTCACCAAGAATCACAGACAACGAACAAAAGAAATCCTAGCTGAAATATATCATTGTATCCACCAGAAAACGTATGCTCCAATCAGTCTCAGCTCCAATTTCAGGTTCAATATCTACGATCAATCGTTCCACCCCACGATAAGGCTCGGAAATAGTCATCGCTGGACAGGACTCGGCAATCCTAATCAAGAAGCTAAAGATAAAAACCGCGCACAGGCTATAATCCAAACAGGGAAGAACATTCACGCTCCAGGAGTTCAATTATGGAAGAAGAGTAAAGAAGTCAAGAATACTGATCAAGAAATAGGCGGAGATATAGTTCACCTGAATTCTGAGGAGTCCCACCGGCGGCGGGGGGATTGGGAGGAGACGAGGACTCAGTCGCCATTACTCAAAACTCCGTTGACTGTATTCAGGAAAACTGAGCCGTATAGGTACTCGTAACTCATACGAGCATCGAGCTGAAAGGAAGAAGAAAGAAGAAGAAGAGAGCGGAAATGGAAGAGGAAGAAGAAGCAGAAGCAGCACCAACTTACCAACCAAGGGCGACGCAGGAGGTTCAGAAGACTGACGATTGAGAGAGGTGCTTCAAGGATTCGGCGGAAATGCTAACGGGAGTTTTTTCTCATCCCGAGGAGGACTTCTCTGCTACGGTGGGGAAAGTAACGGCGGCAATGGCGAAATGACAGAGCAGCGATGTCGTTGTGGAGTTTGTTAGACTTCCATCCGTCGAATGCCAGGGCCAGGGCTAATGGCCACGGAAAGCCCCGTTTTATTTTTATTTTTATCCACGGATACCAATTTTTTGCACCTCTTTTTACCAAAGCCCATATTCGAGGAAAGAACCAAAATATTTCTTTTCCAAAAATACAAAACCTTTTGGCATTCTGTCTTAATCCTAGAGTACATGGTTTTTCAATTCTCTTACAGATCATTTCCTATCAAATGAAATTAATTGAATTTTTAAATCATGTTTGACATACATGTAAAGGGAAGCGGGTGACTACTAGGACATATACGAACGAGCGCAAGAAGTTGACGGGTGCGATCATACCAGCATTAATGCACCGGATCCCATCAGAACTCCGAAGTTAAACGTGCTTGGGCGAGAGTAGTACTAAGATGGGTGACCTCTTGGGAAGTCCTCGTGTTGCACCCCTTTTTCATTTGATTTTTTTCGTTATTTTTTGCCCGCTCGAACGGCGTACACACAAGGGGAGGCGGGAGAAGGTATTGCAGCTGCAAAGATCTCGAAAAGTTAAGCGAGATGGGGAAAAGAATTGCGTCAATCGGATAACCGAGCGCAATGTTACGGCGGTACGAAGTGGGTAGCCTAGGGGAAGCGGGTGACTACTAGGACATATACTAAAATTGAATTAAACGTAAAGTTTCCAACTACATCCTTATGAATTTTCAGCAAATCTGAAAAATATATAGCTCACATTATTAACATAATCTATATCTATACTATATATTATGACAATTAAAAAAAAATTCTGCTACATAAACATTTGGAGAATTAAACATTATGACAATTCAAAAATAACTTCTTGCCACAAGCACTTGGAGAATTAACAAATTGCCAAGAAGGACAATTTTTTTTACTAACAATAATATTTATTATTGATCTATTTATGAAACTATCTCTCTTCTTTTAGTATTTATACTCACTTTTACTCAAAATTAATAATAAGTTACATTTTGGTGAGAATGTAGATAAAAACAAGCATAAATAATAATATTTTTGTCAACTAAACAAAATATGAAGATGGAAACCTAGAATGACATATATCGGATTTGTCAAGTAAATTATCTACTCATTTTAACCAAAACTTAATAATAGTTACATTTTGATGAAAATTTTAAAGAAGTACACACATAAATAATAATATCTTTGTCTATTAAAATATAACGATAGAAAGAGACAAATCAAGTGTTTGACAATCAATAGACTTTCAAAAATAACTACATGACTTTATATATTAAACACTCTCCTCTTTATAATATATATGTCTACCATACATCCAAGAATTCAAATGTATGTGAAATGTCACAATATTTGTATGAATTCTTAAAGTTTATAAAAAATTTCAAAAATTATAAATCATCATTACTTAATATTTTAGGAATTTGAAACTAAATTAGTGTCATATCAGCGAATGGCTAGCTCTCATCCTTAGTGGATAAGTTCTACTTCTTGCTTATGTACTTTTTTGTTTACCCTTTAATTTGTCATCATTATCAATAAAACGTAAATTAAGTTAATAACAATGAATGCAACATTTTGGTTTGTTCCTATCCCTTTTCTCATACAAATAAAAAAATTGGATCAAACCCCATAAAGACAAACAAACCTCTTTTCTTATTTGCCCAAAATGTGAGATTTCTAGCATTTCTCTTCTCTACTTTTTTGCAAATAGATACAGTAAAAGAAATAGTAAAGCATATTGAGTGTTACTATTTTTAAGAGAATATAAGGGTGGAGTTACAGGAGACAATGATTAGGAAACAATTGACCATCTGTAACGTATGTTTGACAATTGACAAAAAAAAGTTCATCCGATCATAGCGAAGATGAATCGAACAAGTCGAGGATTGCTCATTTTTCCATTTGTTAAACTCTTTTTTTCATTTGTTTCTTAATTTCTTCCAGATTACAACAGCTGGATGCTAAATTTCCCTGCTCAAATCAACAGATGTATTTCTTCTTCGTTTTTCAGGTAGTTGTTTTATGGTTCTCTATTATGTTGTATACTTTTATGTAAACATGTAATAGATAATTGGAAGGGTTTATTGTTTGGACTTAGAGTATCTCTCATTTGGTTGAATAATTGATCATTTTACTTGCCTATTGCAACCCATCTCCGTGGATGATAAAATGTAGCAGGGGTTATAAGTAGAAGGGAACATATGTGGGATTTTATAAAGGTGCAAAGAAGAAAGAAAAATGGTGGTGGTGGTCTCTAAGTTGTCTACGTCGACGTTCTTTCAATTTCTACATGTTTGCAATTACATTTGTTTGTTTCTTTAGCTTGAATTTTTGCCTAGTTGAATACCTAACTAAAGCTTGATTTTGGCGTGTTCATAAATGAGGATTTTGCAAGATACAATGAGTTGAGCTTTATTGAAGTATGAAGCTTTTACAATTCGTCTATGTTGTTATTTGGTAAAAAAACACACCATTGTTTTTTGGAGGGGACACGTAGCTCTCTACAAAATATAAATTGTGTTTATATGCAGTTTAGTTTGTTGAAAAATATCGTTTTAATAAATTAGGGACAAATGATAGTTCTATTTTTGGTTAATTTTGTTAGAACATTTTAAAGATAAATTAAACAAATAAGTAGAAGATTGATAATGTGGATGCTAATGTGTTTCCTCATTCTTCCAAAATCGCACAAGTAACTGATAGTGCACGATGTTTGTGGGATTTAGAGCGCGATATTATGTATTATCATATACCAACATACGAGAAGGGAGAAAAAATGAAAAACTCTTTGCTTTTTTTTATAAATTGAAACATATTTTTTTATTTAAACTTCTTTGTCTCTATTGTTTGCTGAAAAATTAATAATCTCTTATGATTATATCCTAAATTGTGGGTTCGATATCAACTTATAAATCAATAAAGAAAGGACCACCGAGAACTCATGAAATAAAATCAAATTTTCATAAATAAACAAAAGATATGAAAGTGTGTAACAATACCTAAAATCAAGTAAGTGAGATTAACCATTCAATGTATAATAGCTTAATATACATGAACCATACAAAATATTAGAACGAAAAATAAAACACGAATACGAATGTGCCACCCAATCGGCGGGTAAAAAACTAGTTTACAAGGAAACATTACAATGTTAGGGCAATGGAGTTTCATTCAATGTCAAGGGTATCAAAATCAAGCGCAACAAAAAGAAAAGATGGTAATCGCAAAATAAAAACATACAGTGATCTCGAAACATACAAAAGGAACAGATATTATATAAATCTAACCTCATTAATTATATATATAGAGAGAGTAGCTTTACGTTGCATAATGTTCATATAAAAGACTAGGTGGCAATGCCGCGTCTTGTTGCGGGCGGAGATGGCCTATTTTTATGTATTATGTTGCCCGTTATGATTTTTTTTAGTATTATTAGTCATCTAAACCTTAAAAATTTTAGCAAGTTTGTTAGTAATATTGACTTGATAATGTGATCTTTAGTGAGAATAGATATATAGCGGTGAACATCCAATTTGAAAATTTTGGCTAGTAAATGATATATACCTAAATCCAAGTGACCCATTTATTATGGGTAGGGTATAGGTGACGTTTATGTGGGTTTGGAAGTTTGTAGAAAGGTTTGGGTAGGGTATGGATATTTACTTCCATAATCTAAATGTGTATGAGTTGGGTATGGATATCCATGGATTTATGGATTCAAGTGAAATCTAAACATTGGACCAATATGTACATTTAAAAAATTGTAGGTACGAAAATCTTATAAAATGTAGATACCAAAATATAATTGTTCAATGAATTTACATTAAAATTAAATTTGAGGTATCAAAATGCAAAATGTACATTATAGTGATTAAGTTGTAATTTAATTAAATTTAGGATATCAAAAAGTAAGTTTTTATGCAACAATAAACTTACTTCAGCTTTATATATATTAATTAATGTTCGAATCTTGGTACATGTAAATAAAACAATCTCCATAAGAAAACCGAAAAAGGAAAACACAGAGATAAAGCTAACCTAACTTATATTATCACCGTTGTGGAGAAAGTTTTTGCCACGTAGGACAAAGAAAGCTCCACAATTTTCCATTTCATTTCTATCCTTTAACATTTTTAAGTTATTAATTACATTAAAATAAAACTAAATAAACATGTATATCATCATGACTAAGATTTGAACTTGCAACCTGTGAGCTCAAAGGCTCAAACTATCATCATTTCAAGTGTTCGACCAATGAGATAAAGTAGATTTGATGTTAATAATCACAACAAAACATCTATATCAATCATCATAATTAACATTTAATCATGCAACCTAGGAGCTCAAACTATAAATAATTCAGTTGTTTAACTAATAGAATACAATTTCATTGATGCAATTAATAACAACAAATAATACTCAATTTAGAGAAAAATGGTCAACAAATAACATTTTATTTTTATTTAATAGTTGACTTCTATACATTACACAACAAAAACTATCACAAATAAAATTTTGTATTATATTTTTTAGCCATGATAGAAAATCATTAAATATTACAAATAACCTATTTTAGATTTTTAGTTTATATGTTTGATAATTTTATAATTTTTAAAAATAAAAAAACTGAGAAAGTTTGAATTTAATTGGTATAGTACACAATTCTAATTTTTACATTATTTGACATGTGATTTTCTTTTAAAATTGATTAATTAAAAAGCAAATAATAAACTTCTTTCATATTCTAGAACACGAAGAATTTAACATTTTGTTTGTATGAACGACAATAAATATGTGAACCAATACAGTTATGTTGCAATTTATTAGAAAATAGCTACTATAATTATCCGAACTAATACACTCTTATTGCGATGTAGTAGGAAAAAAAATTGTGCTTACTAGATAATAGCATGAAGTAAAAATGATGCTTTGCTAAGCAAAAAACAGTGTCATAATAACTTATTCACATGTTCCTATACTTTAGGATTAATGAAATATATCAACATAGTTTAGTTATACGCTACAATGATACACGACAATTTCATGTATTTAAGAATATCATCAATGGTCACCAAAAATATTTTGTATCTTTTTCAAAACCGAATTATTGTTGTATGGCTTAAATATGCCCGTGACCAATTGGTAAAGTATTTTTTATGAGAATACATATATAAAATGAGAATACATATATAAAATAAATAATCATGACTTGATGGTTTTAGTTTGCGTTAAAGTATTTTTTTAAAAAAATTTGTGCTTAAAATAGTGGACTAGTTAAATCACGATGGTTCATCTGGTTTTATGTTGAACCGTGAAAAATTGTTTGGTCCAATAACCATCCAATCAATGAACCGAACAACTATCATAACTGGTTTGAAAGTTCTACTGGTCCAACCGTTGATCCGGTTCAGTTCTTATTTCACACTTCCAATTTAAGAACGGCACAAGTTCTGGAGGAAGGATATAACCAGAACAATCTAAAGCCAATGGAGAAAGAAAGAAAGAAAACCTATATCCCAGCTCGGAGTCATAGGATAAGAGGTGACAATTTTCCCTGTCAGGATCATGAGAAATACCCAAAATGATTTTATGTGGATCGAGCAGGGATAGGTTTAGTCGCCTTCACCATCTCCCATAAGCAAGATTGGGTGTCTCCTGATTCCAGGCATAAACTCTTACCCTAATTCCTAACTTCTAATCAAATCTCATTATTTAAGCTTACTAAGACAAGTCTGTCCTACATCATATGATTTCTAGCCGCCTCCTGTGCCAACAAAACTCGCCAGTAGTGGTATACTGCCAGTTGGGCTTGCAGCAGGCAATTCAAGCTTGGCGCTGAGTTTACTACTACTGGCTAGTGACGTCTGTGTAACAATTGAGGGACAAGTCTGTTCTGTATAATATGATTGTACACGCCGCCTAAGTAAACAAACTCGCTAATGGTTCGCAATTTTAATGCAATAAGAGAAGGGGGTAAACTTTACAGATAATTGTTATTGTATGATCATCTTGCTAGGAGAAAGGAGGACTAACGGATACCCAAACTGGTATTGCTTCAAGGGTTATTGGTAGCAAGCCATCGAGGTCAAGTAGGCATATATATACCCAAAATTATTCTCAAATCCTAATAGGTATACATTTTCTATATGAGAGAAAGACAAGAAAACCCAAGGTGGGTAGGGGAGTAAAGAAGGGAAAAAAGAAAGAAAAAAAATACTAGAGAAGGGACAGTGAAATTAACAATCTATATCTCTGTACAACTTACAAATGATTTTCTTGAGGTTCGACATTCTCCTGAATCTGTTTGCCCCATTAGTTGGTTTCTTGCCGTGTGAGATATGCTGAATGTGTGTTTTCAGATAGATTCACGGTTGCAGAAGTTGTAACCGGAGATGACAGAGCTAGCAGCAAATGCTACAAAAGCCAGGAATGACATTGCAATTGAAGCCGTTGCCATCACAGTGAATTCATCTTTGCCCCAGTTTGACTGCCAGTCATCCACCCGTGTTGCTGCTGATGACGATGCTGAGATGAGAAGGTATGCCATTGCCTGTTCGACGTAAACCAAGAGCAGAAAATGAATAGCAATTTATATTTAGTCCACAGAAAGCCATGAATGACTTTCATAACCGCATTAAGAGCTTGATAGTGTGCTTAAGTAATGAAAACTGTGTTCTGCATATTTTGCATAAAGGGACCGACTGTCGGCTGATAACTTCTAAATGAAGTGGCTACAGATAACATAAGAGCTGTTCAACTTACAGAGAGGTAAATCGATAATTACAGGAACAGCCTCATTATTAACCCAAACCGAAGGGTAACTATACTCCTGGTGCAAACATCTTGCCACTATGAGCAGCTCGCTACCCAGATAGAATCATGAATAACGAAAGAAACTAGAAAGAAAATATGGATGCATTAAGGGAATAAACCTCTCATGTTGAGAAAACGAGTGGCCGTACCTACTCAGAAGCATGCAATTGGGCAAAATAGAAACCCAAACCAGAAACTGGAACTGATTACAGTTCAAACTACGGACTCAACTGTTCTATCCGAACAGATACAAGCACCATTCTCTCGGTAATTGATAGACAATGTGACCCAACAGTTGAAACTATTATGACCCATCTAAAGACTTGATAGACATTAGACAATGTGACGATTACAAGTTCAATATTTGCACTGCTCGAGCTAACAATACGTTGTGGAGAAACCATGGACTTGCCTGATCGATGAAGAAATTGAAGTGCCAACGTAGATGGTGGCGAATCACATGCTTCCCAGTACCCATGTAGTAGCCGAGATCATAGGCTTGAAATGCAGAGTAAGCAAAACCAATCACATTTACAGACAAACAGTACCTGCAGAATCAAGCAGCCAATTAACCAGAGCTTCCAATTCAATTTAATTCAAGGAAGCAAATCGAATTTACGATCACGAATTCAGCAGCCAGTAGTTACCTATACTCTTTGTATCTGTCAAAGGAATCCCCACTCCAGCCCTGAGTCTTATCGGCCGCCATCACCGAGAACGAAATCAAGCACAGTACCAGCTCACCAATCCGAAAACAGAGCTCCGCGAGCCGAACCATGTCTTCCTTCCCCGAGCGCCGCAGTATGGACCCGACGGCGGCTCCCGATCTCCCTCCTTCCGGCCCTACCTTCCTCACCGACGGTGCCGCCTCCTCTCTCACTGCTCGGTTCATAGACGCTCCCATCTCGCGGAACGGAGGAGGAGGCGCCCCAGGCTGCTGCTTGCCCGCCGCCGCAGCATTATTCAAGGACGACGGCTGTAGAGGGGAGGGCTGCGGAGTGTACTGCGTGAATTTGTCGACCGCAACGACAGCCTTGGAGTTGTCGACGGAGGGAGGGGTGGGCTTCTCCGGCGAATTGATCGGGGAAGAGTAAGGAGGGGACTCGGCCGGGTCGCCCTGGTCGGATCGGAGAGGGGAGTGGAATCGGAGAGGCGAGTGGGGCGAGTCGAGCTGACCCTGGTGTGAGTCTGAGTTGGAAGAGGAAGAACGCTTCATGTTCCTGGTGTTGAGGAAGTCGACTCGGGGCTTCGATTTGGAAGGTCTCGAATCCATGACCCGTTTCTGACTCACTCTCAGAGTTTGGAAAAGAAACTGAATCAATAATTCCTCGAGAGAGGGAGGAGGAGGAGAGACAGAGGGAGAGAGAGAGAGAGATTGGTGAATGGGAATTGAATAAAGCGCCGAAGGAAGGAGAGGGGCTGTTTGGTGAGCCAGAAAAAGGCGAGAAAATGAGGGGAATAAGCTTTTACTACTCTGCTTTTAGTTGGTGGGGCTGAAATGCTTAATCGGATATCCACGTGGCATATTTGAAAGCAGGTGGACGGGTGCAGCGGTCTAGGAAAAACCGAAAAAGTACAGTTACTTGAAGGGCCGAAGGGGGCAATCACTGAATGCCAGGCCATGGTAGGGGAAGTTAATATGCTAACTTGAAAATTCGTTAGCAGATACTAACTGATATCCAAAATACATAAACTAGTATCTAAGTACTAAAGTATTTAGAGAGCACAGACTAGTATTCAAAGTTTGCCAACTGATATCCACCATGAATCAACTATTATCCCAAATTCACAAACTAATATCTAGACAACACAGAATAGTATTCATATAACACATAATTAGTATCCCGATAACACTTAAGAGTATCCAGATAACACATAAGAGTATCCATATTGAATACTAGTTGGTTGATTGTGGATATTAGTTGGTATCTGCTATCTAGATACTAGTTTGTGATGTTTTGAATACTAGTATGTGTTATCTAGATACTCAGCAGACTTGGATATTAGTTCATATATTTTGGATATTAGTTAGTATATACTAACGAATTTTCAAGTTAGCAGAATAACTAGGCTGAGGGTAGGGGCTATACAGAACTAATACAGGGAATAAAACTCGGAGCAAAACTCAGTTACTAGTTGTTTTTTTTTTCAAGTAGGACACATGCTTTTCATTACTTGTGGCATAAGTCAAAGGGTTACCACAGGTAGGGCTGGGCATGCGGGCGGATCATCCGCGGGTTTGGGCCGACTCACCCGCATTTGACCCGAATTTTCTTAAGTGGATGGGTCTGTGGGTGGGTGACGGGTTGCGCTGGGAGCCATCCGCCGGGTGGTGGGTGGGTTGTGGGTGAGTGTGCGGGTGACCCGCTCAACCCAACAGCAAAAAGATCAAAGTCGTTGGCGCTAAAGAGAGGAGAGTGGAGACGTTAGATATAAATTCGGACTACTCCTGGAGTTTGAACCTCAAAGCCAACCTTCCAAATAGAGATCCCCTCTTCTTCCCTTTACTTTTTCCTCTAATTCTTGTGCCTAGATCACCGCTCTTTCCTTTGTGGAATTATTTTCCTTAGTTCCTTGCACCTAATAATCGTCTCAATCTGTAGAAAACTCTTTCATAATAGAATTTCTATCCAATTTAAGAACTAATTCGACATTTTTCGTCCTATTTCAACTTCTTGTTTCCCTCGATGATTCTCTTCACCTATTATCATGTCAAGTTGACTTTTTTATATTATATACATTGTGATGTGGGTGAACCCACAAACCCACCCGCATCATCCACCATCCGCCCGACCCAACCCGAGACTAAATGTGGGTGGGTGGTGGGTTAAAAATTATCAATCCGTTTAAGCGCGGGTGGGTACATTTTATGGTCAAAATCCACCCGACCCACCCAATGCCCACCCCTAACCACAGGGGAGCAACAACATCTAAAATATTAATCCATTTCTGAGGCAGCTAATTCCTAGCACATGATCTTGCCACCCAGTTAGCCTTTGAGTTGAGCTTCCGACTGAAAATCTCCATACAGATCCATGGACAAGCAACACAAATCTGTTTGATGTTTCCAATCCAAGCAGCTGCTCGCCACGGCCAAACCTGAGAAGGACCATGGATAGCTTTAATAAGCTTTAAGCAGTCTGAACGGACGAGACAGGAAATACCAAGATCGTCTGCCAAACGAGTACCCTCCAAGAGGGCCTTGGCTTCAAACTCAAGTGGAGAAAAGTAGTGTAGGGTCTCAGCCTTCCCATCGCACACTTGACCATGGCTGTTAGTCACTACAACGCCATAAGCCGCCTCCTGGGAATCGTGTAGGAACGATCCATCACAGTGTATCTCAAATTCATGAGTACCTGGCGGTGGTGAAGAGAGCTCCGGTATTGGAGTAGGCTGAGTAGAGTGATGAGAGGATGTCCTCTTCGTTGTACATGAGTTCCATTGATGGAAGCTTCTTTGGGCACAAGCCACTGTATCTGGCAGCCACAGTCTTATGTTTCTGAAGATATACTCGTTCCTCGACTTCCACGTTTGCCACATAAGGTAAACAAGCCATTCAAGAATGTCTATGGACTGGTTGGGGACAGTGAGGGTCGGCCACTCAACTCTCCATCCTTTCGCTGCGTGAGGGCAGCTAAAGAGGCAGTGATGAATTGTCTCGACTAGGCAAGAACACAGCGGGCAAAGCTTCGATAGAGAGCAACGTCGAGAGTGGAGGTTTTCCTTGGTGGCAAGGGCCCCTCTGCTACATCTCCAAATGACGAATTTCATCTTAGGGGGAAGGGAGAGACTCCACAGCCATTTCCAGTAGTCTTTAATGTAATCCGAGATTGTCAGGGAATTCCCTTGAGCCCGCCGGGTCTGATTATGGAAACAGTGGAAAGCGGACTTAACAGTGAACTCTCCTTGTTCTGTGAAGCGCCATGCCCAAAAATCTTCCAGAGATTCCGGACCAATTGGTGTGCTTGTTACCTGTTGTAGCACCCGAGGAGGGAGAAAATCCTCCAGTAGGTCAAATTTCCACGTTCTATTGATGTCATCAATCCAACTATCCACTGTTGCCGGGGAGGAGCTCCTCTGCTGAAAGAGGTTTCCTGACATAGCAAACAACCATGGATCTTGAAACGTTCTCATGGATCTACCTTTACCAATCACTCTGATCAATCCGTGTTCCATCGAGCTCTTTGCTTCCTAAAGATTGGACCAAATCCAAGATGCTTTTCCTCCTTTTCTTGCTGAAACAAAATCCGAGCGAGGGAAGTAAAGACCTTTGAGTAATTTTACCCATAATGCATCCGGATTGGTCAGGATCCTCCAACATTGTTTAGCAAGGAGGGCGAGGTTAAACTCGTGAAACAGTCTGAAGCCGAGGCCTCCCTCCACCTTTGGGGCGTACAACACTCTGCCATCTCTCCAATGGATAGTCTTCTTTTGGATCGAACTTCCCCTGAAAAACCTCCTGAGCATAGAGTCCATCTTCCTCGTTGTAGACCTGGGGAGCAAAAAGAGGCACATAATGAAGGAGGGAATAGCTTGGAAAACTGCTTTCAGTAATGTCTCCTTTCCTCCGGGCGATAGCAAGAGGCTCTTCCAGGCCTCACCCTTACTTTCCATGCGTTGAGTGAGAAACTGAAGGTTTCGGCCTTCGATCTTCCCCATTCTGTTGGAACTCCAAGATACTTAGAATGGCATATAGAATCCGCAAACCCAATGGTTCTGGTAATTTCATCTTTTTCTTTGGAGCTCACATTGCTGTTGAAGAAGGCTGATGACTTCTCTCTATTCACTTCATGTCCAGTGATTGCCCCGTAGTCATGCAGTGTTTTCAAAATGCTCTCAGCTTCCGCTGTTGATGCTTCCCCAAAAATGATCGTGTCATCCGCGAAGAGGTAGTGGGTGAGATTGGGGCACATTCGATTGAGTTTCAGTCCTCTAATGGTGTGACTTCTCGCCGATTTTTCAATAAGGAAGGAAAGCGCATTGGACATCAGTATGAAAAGCAGCGGCGACAGAGGGTCCCCTTGGCGCAATGCTCTTGAGGGGAGGAATAACGTCGATGGTTCCCCATTAATCAGAAGACGGAAGCGCACCGAGCTAATGCAAGTCTTGACCCATCCACACCAGACATCATTGAACCCATAGAATCGAAGTAACTCGATGAGGAACTCCCATTCCACTAAATCATACGCCTTCTTCATGTCGAATTTCAACATCATGTCCTTTCGATTCCCTTTTTTGTGTTTCTTGAAGTGATTGAGAACCTCGTGGACAATTATGATGTTATCTTGGATCTGTCTTCCTCCTGTGAAGGCTGATTGTAGTTCATTCATGATATTTGGAAGCCATGGTTGAAGCCTGTTAGTCATAATTTTTGTGATGACCTTATTCTTGAAATTGCAGCAGCTGATAGGATGGTGTTGGCCAATCATCTCAGGAGCTGTTAATTTGGGAATGAGAGTGATGAAGGTGTCGTTCCACTCCTCTGGCATGGTGTTTGAGCTGAAGAAGCCTCGTATCTTGACTCACTTCTACTGTCACCCTAGGAATTGGCCAAGTGAAACCACTTCCTAAAGCGTAGTATAGCGGGTTAGGTTTATAAGTCAACCCGGGTCCTAGATTTGCTGACTACTCAATGAGTTCTTGTTATCTAGCAATAAAACTGGAGTGCAAGTCTAAACTACCAAACAAACAAAGCAAGTAAACTGGTTGTATTCAGGTTAAAGAGGTCACCCGGATATGGTTCCCCCTAGTCTGCAGTTAAGCCGGATTGTAATTACCAAGTTCAGTTTCTATGAAGATTATACTGCGGAAGGTTCTTAACTAGCCTGAAGTCTCGACTAAAGGTCTTCAGACCCTCTCAATCTGACTCTCTAGCGGGCGACTAACCTCCACCGGAGTCGACAGATTGAGGCCCTAAGAACAAAACCTCCACTACCGGAGTAACTCCGGTACAGAATAGTGAGTTGGCTCCTCGACTAAAGTCACCAACTCCCTACCTTCAATCAAGGATACTCTATTAACCTAGGCAGATATTCTCATTCTAGGTTAAAGCAGAAACAACAGGAATTTGATCAGGATTCAAGTCATTCAATCATTCAAACCTCAATCGAATATAATCAATCACAGAATCAGTACTTGGGTTCATACAATCAATCTCAACATACAGAACTAGGGTTTCCCACACCCAGATGAATGGGAGAACTACTCCATGGAGAG